ATATTGATGTCAGTAAATATGTTTGCAGCTTGAATAGTTAGATCGTAACTTTTTAGAACTTAGTCAGTAACTGCAGGAAGCAAAAAATGAACTGATGTGATCTGCGATCAGAGTTCTCTGAGGCATTTAAATAGCATGTAAACAGCGCCTGTATTTACTTCTAGTGTGCACTCATCTTGTACTTCCAGTAGAGTACTGGAGAGAGTTTGGAAAGGCACTAAAGAAGGCCTGCTTCTTTCTGTTTTCATGCTGATGGCTTCTCAAATATTGGAGGCTTTCTTTGCATCTGCTTGTTACAGCAATTTCCAATTCTTTATGTAAAATCTGTGTTTGAAGCTTTTCTGCTCTATTACTGTTCAGGGATTTTCCTGGGTACCCCTGCATAGATAAGTTTGTAGATATGAATAATGAAAACAGATTTAGGGTTGGATTTTTTTTTTTTTGTTCTCTTAACAAAGTGGTTTATTTGCTGCTGCTGTAAGTGCAAATGCAGCAGGGTCAAAGGAGCCACGTCACCGCAAGAACTGGGGCATAAGTTGCAAAAGGTTTGCAGGGTGGCAGGATAAGCCCTCACCTGCTACTTGAACATCATTCTATGGAGAATATATTTCTGAAAATGAAACGTTAGGTCTACTTTATTTGTTTTTAACTTAACAAATCTTATATTTTGAGTTTAAAATTAAATTAAAAGAATTCAATTAAATGCTGTGTTGGCCCAGGAACTCTTTGTTTTAGTCTGTGCTCAGTTATTGCTTCTTACAGGTTCTACAAGTCTCACAGAAGGTGTCATTTAAAGAAGTATAGGTATTCAATAAGTAAATACATTTTTTAATAAACTCTTTCTTCAGGTTTTCTCTGATATATACAACTGATTGCCACAACTATTGATGCCTGTTGATTACTTCTCGAGTCCTGCACTATTACCAGGAAGATGCACAATTTTTTCTTTTGGCAAGAAAAGCTTCAGCTTGCCATTTTTCACTGCATCCCAAACAGTTTAATTGGTTCACTTGCCATAATGGTCTTTTTAATTAAAACCAAGCAAAACCACCTTCATGGACATCACCTTACATAAAGATCTTTTTCCTGGCAGTGTAACCCAGAAAACGTCTTCACAACAAATGGCTTCTTGTAGGGGCTTTGAAGGGTGTCCCCCCTGTGCCCTAGTGGAGTCTGAAGTAGTCTATATGAGTTGTTTCTGGTATGTTTTGTCACACTGATCAGTGGTCAGAGAAATGGTTTAGCATTTCTCATCCCTGTCATTAAAATGAAGGTAGTTTTTCCAAGCCAATATGCTTGAGGCGGATGCTGTTCTCCATTTTGCTTTTAGAGCTAGTTTCCTTTTTTTTTTTTTAAATTAAAAAAAAAAAAACCTCCCTCCCCCCCCATGCAAATTTGTAGTGGGCTGGTTGACAAGTGTTGCCATCTTTCTCTTCATCATTTTTACTCTTGGTTGATTTCCTCTGTAGTTTTTCCCCCTACTTTCAGTTGACAGTATTTCTGTTTTTATTTTCTGTCCCTCAAGCAATTCTAAAAATTTGTTATAAAGTTTTAGTCCTACTTTAGGCAACTATTAGCTTTCTTGCTGAGGTGAATGAAACACACACACACATATATATGTATATATTCTTTATATATATATATATATATATTTCTTTATATATATATATATTCTTTATATATATATATATATATATATACATACATATATGCATGTATGTATTTTTTTTTTTTTTTTGGTCAACAGTCACATCTAGACCATTGTGAAGTCTTTCAGCATGCTCGTACAGTCTGTGACTGTATAATCTGTTGCCATAGAGAAGGTTATGAACATGGAAGACTCTATTTGTAAATCACTGTGTACTTCGTGTTTAATTAAAACCTATTGGTAGAGAAATGTTTTAAAGATCTAGATTGTTGACCTAAAACATCTATTACTTACTCTTATTGTCGTTTTCTTCTTGGAATGTCATTTACTTTGGTTTTACTCCTCGTTTTTGTCACCAAAGAAATAATCCTATGAAAATGGATGATAACCATTGTTCAGTAGAAAAGACATTGAATGATGTTACTAATTCAGCTTTTTTGTTGCACTATACGCAAACTTCTCATATTTTAATTTATGCAGGTGTGAGAATGATGAGATTTGTTTTTATTTGCTTTGCAACAGTGTCACGTTTTGATATGTATAACCCCTAGCAGGGAAGCCCATCCTCTGAAGTCATGTGTGTGAGAAGAGCCTCTTGCATGTGCCCTGTTAAGTAGCTGGTTTCTAAGAATCAAGACAGTATGAGATGGGGAGCTTTGGTAGGGGAAGCAGATGATGGGTGACAGGAAATAGGGCAAATTGATCAAGAAAATATGTGCCTGGTAAACTTCCCAGGGTATTGCCCGTGATGTGTCACGGTTCCCTCTTTACCAATAACCCACAGATTGGAGTTACACATGAAAATACAGTACCAGCTCAGAAGCAGGCCAGAAGATTTGGGTAATTTACTTTCTACGTAATTTGTCTCTTTGTATTAATATGAATAGAATTTCAAATGACCTAAAAAAAAATATATATATATGCATTACTTTTAGAGGTAAAGTATTCCTAGAACTTTTGGTTTCAGGATAGAGAAAAATTGAATTGGAAGCTGAATTGATCACCTAGGAAAGAGATTGTGCTAGCAACCATTTTTGGTTTCGTTTTCATATATTTATATGGATTTTGCTCCCTCCCTCTACACTTTCTGAAGTTCTCATTTTCAGAAGGAATGCTCATTTTATTCAGGAAAATAGAATGTGTGTGTACATTGGTTCTTTTTTGTTTGGTTACTTTTTTCCTTTTTATTTTATTTTATTTCTTTGTTTAAAACAGAATTAGAAACTAGAGTAGGATGAAGAGATTGCTTCAGTTCTTTACCATATTTGTTCTGAACACAATAAGTCAGTTTCCCTACTGAAATTAAAAAGAGTGAGACAGGCTTTTCGGTCCTTAACAACCCACTTTCTGTGTTTAAAAAGCTCTCTGCTTTCTGTGTCGTATGCAAGTAATGGTAATTTAAAGGGAAGTAATTTCACTTCCCTTTACAGAGGTGAAAGTACCTTCAGTGAAAAAGGGGTCTTAACATCTGAATTGGATATGAAAACATAACTAACGTGAAAATTTACAAAATTTTCTGTGGATTTTTATTACAGAAAAATTGCTTTTATTCCCTCTTCCACCTGCCCTGTACCTCCCAATGTCACTGACATCCCAAGGCACAAGAGGAACTTCCCTTCCTATTTCTAAAATATTTTAGTGTGGGAATGACAACCTCAAGAGTTTTTATTTCATTCATGTTTTTAAAAGTTCCTCAGTAGGGGATATCACAGAATCATTTTTGTCTAAGAATAGGCTTGAGATACAGTAGTTAGTTCCGTTTTGGTAGTTTTATTGAGTCAGCAGAACAGTCAGAAGCTGTTCTGTCTAATAAATATTGCCTTAAAAAAGTGACTATAGCTAGCAAAAGGAAGTTTTGAACTGCTCTTGCTGTTGTTCATCTCTGCTTTTTATTAATTGTAAAAAAGGCCTGGTTATAGAGCAATTACTTTTCCCCAAACAGTAGCTATTGCCATGCTTTTAATACAAAGTGGAGAAGTAGTTTTGTAAAAGGCAGCTATGGAATAGTCTTCAGATTTTTTTTTTTTTCTAATGCTAATTATTAATTTTCATACTACTTGAAATCTGTAGCTGTAGAAACGCTATTTAATTACTTTGGGTTCTACTGTTCTCATTACCCATATAAACATTTTTTTTTCCTCTCCTTTTTGTTTTTGTAAAGCTGACAGCCTCTTAGGAAACAGTTCTTAGTCCTTTCAAGATACACTATTGCAATGTATCCTTTATAAAGGAGGATTTGATATGAACTTAAAGTTTAGAAATCTTGTCTACTGAAGTAATAGAAATCATGATTACCAACTTCATCTTTTTTGTCGTGTTCCCCTCCCCAGTAATGTTGATAAAATCGGTGGACAGTTTGCCCACTTTCCTTCTTAGCTCTTCCAAGCCACCATACACAGTTACTGACAAAGCACATTACTACTTTTTGACCAGGTTTTCGATATTTTCTTTTAGTTAGAACAAATAGATCTGTTTCATTGCACTCCTTTATCATTACACTATTATTGTTCTATGCTGCTTTATAGTAACTGGTTGCTCAGGGTTTCAGGTTTAGATGTGTGTATTTCAAGCTTGTTGGAATATATTTCTTTGGGGGATATCATTTCTTATTTCAAGGAACTGCAGGCTTTATGAAACATTAGAAAGTAGGTGTTTATTGAAGTTACTGGGGAAACTGCACTAACTTAGCTGAGTTAGCTTTTCATGCATTTTTTTTTTGTTTGTTCCCTGCAGTTACATTATGTAGTATATATGGAAGATTTTGCATTCTGGTGAAATGCTGGTCTTTAGTTAGTATTGCAGAAGTTGTCAAGCAAACAAAAAGCTAGCTTAGACCTGTCAAATTTGGCATTTTCAGTAGGGAAGAGCTGTGTTCTCCTTCCTCCTCCTTGTTTTCTGATGAACCTGTTGAATTGTGGACACAAAACAGTCGATATTGGCAGAAATTGCCCTAAGAAAATCTCAGTATAAACTTCTGAATTAATCTTTTTCTATTGTCAATGTATAATAGTGTATCTTTATAGAAAAAAATGTAAATGTACCAAATAATTGTTTAAAAGTATAGTGAAAACTGTCTGGTGTTTTAATTTATATAGACCCTTTTATTGCCTTAGACCCATTTATTGCCTTAGGTAACAAGCTTAATAAAATTCATGCTAAATCTTTGACATGCTTGTTAAAAATATTCTTGATTTGTAAACATTGTTAAATATCTTTTATTGCATGTTGAAGCAGAAATATTCATATTACAGTATGTTGTAAAGGCCAGGCTGTGATATCTTAACTATATGAAGCAATTTTTTCTGCCTAATATTTTCTTTTCTTTTTGTTGTTGTGGTTTATTTTATTTTAGGTTGGTTGGAGTACTGCAAGAGATTATTACACGTTTCTTTGGTCACCTATGCCAGAAAACTATGTGGAAGGATCAACTGTTAACTGCGTGCTGACTTTTCAAGGTGAATTGAAATAACGCAGTATCTACCTGTATTTTCTAGCTTCCATAGTTATTTAAATACTTATCTATGTGTTAAGATATTGAGGGATGCAAAACAGTTTTAGATCTTCAGAAACGCAAATTGTAGGAAGGAAAGTTTACCACGTCAGTCTTTTGCGTGCTCCTTTTGTTACCTGTGTAAAGTTCGTTCATATTTCAGATGTCAACGAGACTGTGTGAGTAATTGTGTGACTCAGCATATTTTTACATAATAAAATGGACGGCGTTCAGGACTGATGGAAAGAGGAAGCTCTGCTGGAAATTATTCAGACACCAAAAGTGATGCTGTTTAATCATTGGAAGTTTTTTTTTTTTTTTTTAAATCTTGGCATCTCGTAAAGCATTGTCTTTGCATTGTCTGTTTTTAGTCTCTGAACTTTAGACCATTTCAGTGTAAAGTCATTCATGTCAAAGAAAGAAAAAGATAAAAAATGTAAGTGATAGTTTGGTGAAGGTTCAGTTCTATTCAGAGTTGCAGAAGACCTTTTGATAGTGAGGAATTGCTGAAAATCGCTACATTTTAAGAGAAGAACACAGAACAAAACAGAAAATGGTACACCAGTATACAAGAACACCACTATACAAGTCTATATTATAACTGCATTTTCAGTACTGTGTAGAAATCAGATCCTCTACCTTCCCTTGCAAGTTTCAAACATGTAGCACAACTAGGAAATGAACAAGAAAGACATTTTTAAAACCAGCTACCCATCGAACAAGTCAATTTTCCATTGTTCATGTTGAAAGAAGCAGGGGCCGTCAGTGTAAACTACCAGTGAGAGGTTCATAACAGAGATAGAGATGGTACACAGTCAGGTGCAGAACTTCTTGCAACAGGATGTTATGGATGTTAGAAGATACACACATGTTCAAACCTGCAAGTAAGAAGATAGTAAGATATTATTCCCTAAGCTATAGTTAATAAAGTACAAGACTGATGGAAATACGAAGCACGTTATATACATGTCTGTATAGCAGATGTAGTGAGTTTTACCACTTTCAGGAAAAGTAGCGAAGACTACTTGAAGAAGTCCTGCAGTAGTCTGGAATGAAAATTTAAAAAACAGCAACAACAAAACAAACAAAAAAATCCCCCCAAAGCAACATAGTAATTGAAGTAGGGATTTTAATGTTATAGTTCAGTCAGAACTGAGGGAGTATCTGAGAAGGCGTGTGAATTAAGTTTCTAGCCTACTTTCATTTACTTAGCTGCTGTTAGAATTTTATCAAACAGTTTGTTTTTTTGGTTTTTTTTTTGGGTGGTGCTGGAAAGTGACTTCAGAAATATGTATTATGCTCACTTCTCATGCATTTTTTTTTTTGTATCTTTCTCATCTGCGATAAGAGGGAGGTAAGCGGATTTTAAGCAAGCTGATGGAAAGAGGACAAAGTGTGAGGGACAGTGTTAGAAAAAAGTACTCATGCCAAAATTGTTGTGGCATTCAGCATCTGTTTCTGGAAGTACTGGACTTTGAGTTGGTGAATGCAATTTAATGATGAGGAAGTTATATAGGGAGCAGATTAAATTGTGGTGAGATATGGATAGAAATGGGTGACATCATGTGCTAGGTGAGGATTTATTATGCTGGTGTCTTAAGTGAGCTAAAGTGTCTGACAATTAAGTATTCTACATAAAACCAAGTGGTTTTCTTACCATTAAGTTGGGTTTCTTGCATTTACTAATAAAGATAAAAATCTCATTAGTTCTGAAAATGGTTGCTTAACATGTTATTCTGTTTTTTTTTTTGTTGTTTTTTTTTCTCTTGTCTTTGGCTGTAGAGGTATTCCCAGCCCCCAAATCACTTACTCTTTGTTCTCTTATTGTACAACAGTTATGTAATAATGTAGTCCTGTTCCATGTTTAGATCTTCAGGGCATCTTGATGTGTATGAGTCTTTTTATTCAATAAGAATATAATCATCAGCCATTACCTAACGTATGTAAGGTGATAGTTATATATAGTTCTATAGTGTTGTCACTTTTTACTGTCCTAGGCCTGGTACAGTAAGAAGTAAAGAAAAAAAAGAAATAAAAAACAAACAAAAACAGGAGAACTAGGAGAAAATAGGGGGTGGGGTCAAAATTACTGAAAAGGGTAACTTTTCCTTTGTATTGCTGTGATCATGTCTGTGTCTTCTGGAAATGAGGGTGAAAATCATAAGTCAAACATGATCTGATAATGTATTTCCACATGGAGAATTGCATAATAGATTTGTTAGTGCCAAATGTTTCTTCAAATACGAATTTATTTTGATAGGATATTATCTACCAAATGATGATGGAGAATTCTACCAGTTCTGTTACGTGACCCATAAAGGAGAAATACGCGGAGCAAGCACACCTTTCCAGTTTCGTACCTCTTCTCCTGTTGAAGAATTGCTCACTATGGAGGATGAAGGAAACTCTGATATGTTAGTGGTGACCACAAAAGCTGGACTTCTCGAGGTTTGATTCAAAAATTCTTAAAATGTTATCAGTCTTTCCACTTAGTTTTTATATGTACATATGTACACACATACATAAGTACGTAGAATATAATCAAGAACAAGCAAGGAGAAAAAACTATGTGTATATATAATGTGTATTTCTGGCTTGATTTTCAATTGTTGAATGGAGTTAAGAACATTTGCAGATCAAATGAATAAATATTTAAACTAGCTACAGGTATGGCATAACACTTGGTATAAACTGGGAAATCATAAGATAGTAGCTAGTTGTCCATCTCTGCCATCTGTACTCTCTAACTTAAGTGGGTTGGGGGCACAGGGGGAAGATTCCTTACAGTGAATACCCTTTGTGTGCAAGGGTACTCACTGTAAGAAAAAAAGGAACTGATATGCTTTTAGTTGTGCACAAGAAGCACATGTATTTGATTTACAGCTTTTGAAATTTAGGATGAGAGACACAGTACAGAGGTACAGCTGGGATGTTTTTTCATTTATAGTCTTAGGGTATGTACCCATAGTACTAAAATTGAAGAAAAAGGATTTTTCAAACTTCTGTGATTATCTTGATTTCTGTGCCAGTCCTTACGTTTGGCAATGTTTGTATTTTTTAAAAAAATTTCTTCAACATTGTTCTAGTGTGTGTGTGTGTGTGTGCGCATGCATACACTCAGCGGCCATTTCGTCACCAAGCTGTCATCATGTTAATTGGCTTTTCCATAGTTGCTGTCACTTGGGAACAGTAAAAGCACTTCACTTAAGGAGGAAGAACAAGCAGAAATTAACATGGTACAAAATGTGCTGTCTAATGATAATGTAGTACTATAATGTAACGGTAATGTAGTTAGAGTAGTGAAACTTCAGTTTTGTCCTTCACAAATTTCTGTAACATCACCTGGCCAGAAGGCACATGTTTTGTGATTCTGCCCAAACATTGGAGTAATTTGTCATCCATGTATTGGACTGAAATCAAGGAGAGAAAAGATGCCAAGAAAGAATGTTTTTGTGTTTTACAGTTTAAAATTGAAAAGATAATAAAAGAAAAAGAAGAGCTATTAAAAGTAACTTCTGTTCTGGAGAAGGAAACAACACAACTCAGAGATCAAGTTGAAAGACTGGAAAAAGAACTTAACCATGAAAAGCAGAGATGTGACCAACTGCAAACAGAGCAAAAGGTTAGTTGTTTTACTGATTAAAGCTGACTCATAATGTCTGTAATCCTTCTTTTTCGAGAACCAGTTAAACTGGGTGAAAATCAGCTATCAAAACCTCTCAGCAGTTAGATAGACATTTACACTAGAATAGGTCAGTTCCTATTAACCTCCTGCCACTATTCCTTTTATGTCGTAAAATGGTTAAAATATTTAAGGCTTTTGGTACCAGGCTTGGTAAGATAATCGATGACAACTGTTACCAGATGTTTGACATTTAATTGTGAATTTCATAGTGGAAAAGTAGTTGACAGTTAAAAGTTTGCTTATGTTAGTTTAAAATGGAGAATGGCTTTTCAAATAATGCCTGTTAAGGAATAAGTACACAGAACACAGGATATTGAAAATGGTAATAAAGCAAAAAAAAAAAAAAGTTGGCATTAAAAAAAATCAAGACTGAACAGAGTGCTACTGTCAGAACATACTAAGAGTGAAAAGTTAACTGTGGCTTCTCTTAAAGATTTCAGAAAGGCCTAAAGATTTTGAAGGGGAAAAGAACAAACCTAAAAATTAAGTTACATTTTTAATTGGTAGTGGAAATATAAACCTAGCCTGCACCAAAGCAGGCTAGAACTTTACTTTGGAATGCTACAAATAGTAAGGAAATATAGTATTATAAAAAAGGCACACAAAAGTTCGACTTAATATATATTTCAGCTGATGCTTAAAAAAAAACAACAACCACCACCAACAACAACCTTTTAGGAGAAGATTAAAAACATGTGGGAGGGAGGTGGTGACATGGACAAATTTGAAGTAATGAAGCCTATATAATTTAGCTGTGGACAGCAGTTAATAGGCTATTTCTAAGTACTAGTTATGTATATGTCAACAGTTCTGCACGATACACCTTTGGTAGAAAGGAATTTGTTGAAGGAATTTGAAACTGTTGAAATTTCATAGTCTACTTTTCAACAGTCATAATTAAATGAGCTATAACATTAGGTAAGGAAAAAGTCAATGATAAGATCTATTGTAGGGGAAAAAAGTGTAAAATCTTTCATATAAAGGAATTATTTTAATTTCAAGCACATGGGAGGACCAGTTTAACAAGACTAGAATTAAATACTTAAAAGTACACATTTCATGTATCTACAGAATTAGAAGCTTGATGAATAAATTTGAATAAGCTATATAGAAATCTTTTATTATTTGAGGTTCTTATTTAAAAATAGCTTGAAAGATTGTCAGTTGTGATCCACATGAGCTCTAGAATGTGTTTTTAGAACAATTTGTCAAATGGGACTTCGATAACTGTCTAGCAAAGGTAGTTAGACAATAGTTGATCAAACACTTCACCTATCTGGAATACTATAGCAGTTTCCTAACCCAGGCACATACTTTGTCTCTCAAGTCTTTGGGATTTTCTTATTTTACTACTTTTATGTTTTTTGTTTTTCACTTTTAAACGAGTTTCTGAGTTGAAACTTGCATTTGTTTCTATGTATATTACAATATGTATATAATAAATGCTTACATATATTAGCAGAACATAAATCTAGTGTTACTTCTGAAAATTCAGCTTGCATATTCTAAATCAGATGCATTAATTTAACTTGTTCATCATCAGAAAGTTTAATAAAGAGCACTTTATATGCAGCTTTCTCTCTAGCCGTTGCAAGCCTAAAGATGACTTTCCTTCTTTCTTGCTCTCCGTACATCCCTACCCTAGTACTTGAAATACAGAAGCAGGCCAACAGGCTATATGATTTATCTTTGCTGGGAGCATTGTACAGTGGGTTAATAGATTGATTTAAAGATTCCTGAGCAGCAGTTATGCAGCACTCATTTCAATTACAATAGCTAGGTTTTATTTTCCTTCTGGTTTGTTTAAAATAAATAAAGTCAGCTAATCTAGTCAGCTTCATGTGATGTGAATAATTGTTATTGGCAATAAACCTAAACAGTCCATTAATTCAAATCTTGTTTGTAAGACCACAAGGGATAACCTTGAAATGTTAAGTAATCAAAATATAACTATATTTCATGTAACAGCAGAGTCTTCACCTGTGCTTAGGATGAAGCAGGTGATTTTGTTTTTGAATTGTTTTTGTTGTTGTTTGGTTTCACTTTTAAGTTACAGAATGACTGCTTTAATGAAGTGATTCAGTGGTTTCTTTTTCTTCTTTTACTCCTAGTCCTCTGGTGCAAGTCACATGCAGCTGGATTTTTAGTTATGGTCTAAACCTTTGACACAAAGATCTTAAATTCATCAACTCCACTTTTTAATCTATTTATTTTTAAAAAATGTTTAGTTTATTCAGGTAAAGGTTTAATTATTTAGAGTTCTATTAAATAAATTAACAACAAACAACTTTCAATATACTTAGAGCACATTAAGTTAAGAAAAACGATTACTTACAAGTAGATAAGTCTGTATAGATGTACACAATTGATTCAGAGTGCAGAGCTGTTTATTCTTCTGGTGTGTTTGTAACTGTTACACATTTATTGCCATTAAATTCAGATACAAATAATCATGAACCCCTTTATATAACATACTTGTCAATCTATTTTCCTCTTTTCTAAAAACAAACAAAAAACCTTAATTTCCTCAGAGCAAATAGTGTGGATATCTGACCTAGTATCCTTGTCTTTTAATGATATGTATTATTAAGCCACCCTGTATTTTTTACCATAGAATCACAGAATGGTTGATGTTGGAAGGGATTGTTAAAGATTATCTAGTTCCAGTCCACCCGATGCAGACAGGGACATCTTCCACTAGACTTGCTCAAAAGCCCCATTCAGCCTGGTCTTGAGCATTTTCAGAGATGGGGCATCCACAACTTGTCTGGGCAGCCTGTTCCAGTGTCTCACCACCTTCGTAGTAAAGAATTTCTTCTTTATATCTAATTTAAATCTACCTTGCTTTAGTTTAGAAATGAGATCATTCGTCCTACTGCAGTTTGTTAAAACATAGTTTTCTTAATATCTCCTGTGTATTTATATTTTTTCATATGTGTTTAAGATATTTTTCTCTTTTTAGTACTGACTTTTTTCAGTCTTCACAAATAGCTCAGGAGTATTTGGGACTATTGAGAAATATCCATAGAAACATTGCTTTCCTGATACAGGCAAGGTAGTTGTTGATGGACTATGTCACAGCTCTATCCAAATTAATGTTTCCCTCCCACTCTTAAACATTTGTTCTCTTTTCTTCCTAGTTATTGTCATAGAGTTCTGGGCATTAGGGTATTGTCTTCTGTGTCTGATTTTCGACTGGTTCGGGATGCTTTTAAAGTGGTTCTTTAGAGGCTCTTTGGTACAAATATTAGGAAGAAACACACACTGAAGTTAGATTCAATCTTTTAGGAACAAAGTCTATGCTAAAATAAATCTGTATAAATATATCTGTATCTGTATAAATAATATAAGTAAATCTATTCAGGTATAATACAGTCAGTATTCCACACAGTTTGAATATTGGGCAGTATGCATGCTTCTAAGTGATGCAAAGATTGTCTTTCTTGAGTTTCAAGAACAGGTGAGTCCCTGTGTATCACTCCTGACAGGTAACAGTAAAGGTCACAACAAACTACAGATTTTGGTTTGCTAACAGTGTTCTTGCTGTTCAGGATATACAGGCTTTTGTTGCCTTCTTACAAGATTTCTATCTCATTTCCTACCAAAAATGGGCAGAATAAATGAATTCAAGGCATAAAGTGATTGTGTTATTTGAGTTGTTGAAACATTGTTTCTCATTCAAGTCCTGCATATTACAGTACTCCAATTCCCTTCTTATTTCTAAAGGCTTTTATTTTAGGGTTAGCATCTTATTTTACCACACTGGAGTAAAAAAAAAAAGTGTATTTTTTTCTGGTATTCAACACAGTGGTTCTGCAGACCTAGTTTTCTCAGTTTGTCATCACCACCATCACAGAAGAATATCTGCAAGACGCACAGCTTTGTGCTTGCCAGTGTTTGTGCTCACAGGGAACATATGCTCCAGCCCTGCTGTTGTGCTTCATATGGAATCCCTAGCTTTGTGCTGCGAGTGGATAGACATTCAGTCCTTTCAGCGGTTTTGTCTACTGAAATTATCTGTTGCCCTTCCTATAGAAAAGGAGATGGCTTGATGCATGTTTGTATTCTCCAGTATATGGAGTGAAGTTTGAAAAACTTCACCAGGTCTCCACTTGAAACATGCATATTCTTATTTTCCTTTAGTGGATCACAAGTGCACAAAGCAGGATGGATTTTACACAATATTTTGGTAGACTAGATTAGTACACACTGCTACTGTGGTTTAACCCTGATAGGCAGCTGAGCACCACCCAGCCACTTTTTTGCCTTCCCCTTCAGCGGGAGGGGGGAAGAGAATCAGATGGGTAAAAGTTAGAAGACTCATGGGATGAGATATAGCCAGTCTAATAAGTAAAAAGAGAAAAAAACAAAACCAAGAAGAAACAAGTGATGGACAACACAATTGTTCACCACCAGTTGACTGATGCCCAGACAGTTTCTGAGCAACTGCAGCCCCACATTTTTATTATTATTTTTTTTAATTGCCAAGCATGCTGTCATATGGCATGGTCAGTTTGGTCAGTCTGGGTCAGCTGTCCTGGCTGTGTTCCCTCCCAGCTTCTTGTGGATCCCCAGCCTGCTCACTGGCAGGGCAGTGTGAGTAGCAAAAGGCCTTGTTGCTGTGTTGCTCAGCAATAACTACACGATCAGCGTGTTGTCAACACTGTTTTCATCACAAATCCAAACCACAGCATCATACAAACCACTAGGAAGAAAAGTATTTCTGTCCCAGTCAAAACCAGTACAGCTTCATGTCTTGTGATTGCCACTGTGGGCCCCTTAGCCAACCTTCCCCCCCAGCCCCTAAATATCTTAAGCTATTGTAGAACTTCAGTCTCCAAATTCAGTCTTAACTGTGTTAGGTTGGTCTCTTCCTCCTCTCTCATCTAAGGGCCTTTTAGCAGATGCAGTATGTAGCTGTTAGAACAAGATCAGAT